TGATATGCCATGTCATGATGTTATAATGTTATGTACAAACAAATATATACAAGCACACAAACAGATCCTTAGTTTTAGGCTTGCATGGATTCCATAGGTAAGTACCCTCTTGAAGTTTAGTTAGTTCATCCTGTCCTATTAATAGTAATCGGGTTCTAGGGAATCTCAATATCATTGATCTTCCTTCATCGGGCATTGTTTCAGCGCAAGCCTCTTTATTGACGACCGAAATATCCCGGAAGTCAGACCTCAATGAGTGTAGTATCGAGTATCAACCAACTTCGGACTGCACCAAAGCCGGCTATCTCACTACTTCATAGTGGCTAAGTTGTTCAATTAAAGGTTCTAAGGTCATTTGGTGCTTCATGACACCACACAGCGGCCCCGTATTCTCCTTAACTACTCAAGGGCTACCGGTACCAACAAATGTATCACACCAATGTAGCTATCGTTTCAACCGTATCGGTATACCCTGCACAGTCCCCACGATCTATTGCTACTTACCTAAAAGGTGCCCCAGATCCGGGTGTAGGATCTTTACAAGTAAACCCAAGCAAGCCCTTTAAAGATAAAACATACAAACACACAATGTAAAGCAATTAAAAAGATGAACTAAACTTTAAGGTAACCCTACTTTTTTTTCAAAATCCCCAACAAACTCGCCAGTTCTATAATATGGTGGCAGAACCGACTGTTATACTGGTTTTGCGTTTGTATTCGCAAATGTTGCGGTAAGCAAGAGTCGCCATCGACTTTTCTTTTATCCAACAAAGGAAAGGGTGAAAAGAACATAAAAATACCTTTTCGAGAGTTTTTTGAGTAAGGAGGGTAGATTATGGAAAGGGAAAATGTTAGCACCCTTTTCATCCGTAGTTATCTACGGGCTCTTAGATGCTTAGCTCATTTTTTGAAATACCTTGTGCTTTTCTGTGTTTTTGAAAATTATTTTGAAATTCCTTAGTGCGGAGATTTGCTTTATGATAACTCTTGTATCAGTCCTCAAGAGTGTTGATAAATCGTTTTTGAAAAGGTTTTTGTGTAGGTGTAAAAAGTTTGTTTTTGAGCATAGCATCTAGGAACTATCTACTTTACTCGAAAAAGGTCGTTCTTTTCCTCCTTTCCTTTAGATAGTGCTATCCTACTATTAGTGAGTAGGTAGCCTTAATCGTTTGGATGTTTGAGAGACGTTCGAAGGGAAGTTTTATAGTCACAAAGGCAACTAGGCAAGAAACCTTAGTAACTACCCTAGGGTTTTAAGATCATTGTTTACCGAGGCAACGTCGAGAGGGTCATCGAGGGAGTTATGATCTTTTTAAACCAGAGGGTAGCCACTAAAATCTCTAACGTTTTGAGATATGTGACTATTTTCCGAAGCCAGCCAAAGTGGGAGTACCCTAGAGGTGCGTATGTGCGAGTGTGTTTTGTTTCAGTTATGTTTATCTTCGAATGTTAGGTTTGCTAATGTTTTATTTTTATTCTTGCCATACAATCCTATTTACTAACAGTAATATTTTATAGAAAATATAAAGTGCGGAAAGAAAATCCTACGCTATTACATCCCATGAGCAGTTACAATATTTAAAAAAAATGCGAAAAGATAAACTAACTATTACAAAATCAAATATGCGACATATACACTCTTTTTAGAATTTAAATAACAAAAGAAAAATAGAAAACAAAAAATGAGAATAGATTGTTTAGAAAGAAAATCAAATGTCCTAAAAAGCCTAAGTATTAAAAATATTATTTGTATTCTTTTATTTATGAAAAGAAATTGAAAATTAATTAAATATTAATTCTATTGATTTTAAATTTTAAGAAAACAAGTCAAAGTAATTTAATTAATTAGCTAGCAAAAGTAATTAAAAAAACTAAATCTAATTGTGTGAGATTTGCAAAGGCTGAGATTTGCAAGGGGACATGTTTGATGTTCATAACGCAGCATATTGGACCTGCAACAATTTTGTTAGAAAAGAAAAATGCAAGATCTGGGTATCGAACCCTGGTCCTTTCCAGTATACGCATTCCCCTTCCCTAACTGAACTTGCTTTCCAATCGTTATTACAAATGAACAGACAAATATATATATGTAAAAATAACATTAATTCCATATTTTCAAAGAAAAGGTTGCGCACGCTAATTTTCAAACCAGCTACGCATGGAATCAACCCACCAGAGCCAACCTTTTGATTATACTCTCTGATGGGCTCAAAATCGAAATGGGGTTTGTGACCTGTCTATCCTTTCATCATGAGCATGCACAAATAAGTTAGAACAAACAAATTTCCTAGATTGAGAAAATAAAATTCGAAAATATACCTATCGTCAGTATACTTGGATCTGTGGTGTTGGAGATGCCCCTGGAGATCTCAGGATCAAGGTGTGATTACTAGTTTGGACTTAAAGGTGCCTGCAAAAATATGTTTTGATTGGGACACTTTTGGATCTTTTTTGAGCAATGTGATATAGTATGCATATCCTCCTCTGACTTGTGTTTGTGTCTTGTATTTATAGGAGGTGTGAGGTGAATGGAAATGGCAGGAGATAGTCATTAACCAGGCTTTGAAGACAAAATCAGACAAATTAAAGGATTTCCATTTTTTATGAATTCCCACCCTTTTAGGTTTTGGGATGAACCTGGACATGTTTCAATCCCTGACTCCTTCGAATTCCTCCATTCCTTGCTCTTTGATTGGCTCTGAAGATACCCAACTATCCCAATCGAAAGCTTCATTCTGGCCAGTCGAAGCTTCTTTTGTTACTTCCTTCGAATGTAATTGTGCAGGAGGCTTGGGCTTGGCAGCATGCAGGACTTTGGCCATACTCATCAAAAGACAAAAAAAAAACTTTATTTCCAACTATTGTTTGTCTTTCGACTAGACCAAATGTATGTCCTTCAAAGGCACCATTTATGGGTTCTTCGAATATCCCACATGCACCCCTTGTACATTCTTTGAATGGGCCACCAATGTGTGTTCATAATGTAGAAATCATGTGCTGAAGGGTTCAGAGGTGGAGTCAAAGCTATCATGAGAGAAGCCAACTGCTTAATGAATCGAAGCACGTACGAAAGAAGCCACTGCTTTATATGCACTAGAATGAAGGGAAGTCATTGCCTTGTGCGTTGAAGGAAAACACAAAGTAAGTCATTTCCTTGTGGGTCGAAGCACACATGAAAGAAGTTCTTGCCTTGTGAATCAAAGGCAAGCATGAAGAGGAAGCCTTTGCCTTGTGCACTGAAGGCAAGCACGGAGGAAGTCTTTTCCTTATGGATCAAAGGCAAGCACAGAGGAATTCTTTGCCTTGTGTGCTGAAGGAAAGCATAGAGGAGGCACTTGTCTTGTGGATTAAAGCAGACACGTAAGAGGCCAATGCTCAATCTAAGCTTGTATGCAGGAGGCCACTGCTTTGTGAATCAAAACAAGCATGTAGGAGGCTACTGCTGGTGAATCGAAGCAAACATGTTAGGGGCTACTGCTAGTGAACCGAAGCACACTTGTAGGGGGCTACTGCTGATGAATCGAAGCAAACTCGTAGGGGGCCATATGCCCACATGAAGCTTGTGGACCAAAGATTGCTCAAAAGGGACCCAATGCTCAATCGAAGCTGGTGGACCAAAACTTGATTGAAGGGGACCAAATACCCAATCGAAACTTATGAATCAAAGCAAACTTGCTCTTCTTTGATTTGATGCTTGAGAGCCCAATATGATCCATGGAAACTTGTTTAGTATGACCCAGTAGAAATTTTGTGAGAAAAATCTTGTGAAATGAGAGGGAAAATTTTAGGGTACAACATAAAGCAACTTGGATGGTTAAGGGTCAACTAGTGAAAATTTATCCAGGTGGTGATGTTGACCGACTCACAACAATAATTTCATTGTGAGATACTTGAGGGTCTTAAACCATCAAGCTAATTTACGTTAAACAAGTGCTGATTGAGAGGAAACTCAATGTTGGTAAGTAATGCCTTTATATATTTATGCATGATTGGTACAAGAGTTGGAGAAAACTTGTTGCAGGTTGGATTTTGAAGAGTTTCTGTCTTGACATTTTTTTCGGGCGAGCAAGTATTTCGCCAGGAGAATCAGGTTCGCTCCTGGCTCGCTTTCAGCTCTCTGGGAAAACCTTCGAGTTCAGTAACTTCTTATTATTTTTTTTACCATTTGGAAGTAATTAATAGATTTCCCACTCATATTTTTGGGCTACATCAGTTGGGCCCAACCCAGACCAACTACTACTTTTATTCTCTTTGTCATTTTTTCGTTTCACCACTTTTTAAAACTCTAGCCATACTCATCACTTTTGTTCTCTCTCTTTTCACTTGCTCTCTGCATAATCTCACTCTCTCATTGGTGCTGAGAAGGTATGAATTTTTTAGAGATTGTGTAGGTTTAGGTAAACTTTAGGTTGTATGCATATCAGGGTTGAACATTATTTTTCAGTAAGAGATATGTTAGCATAGATAAGGCACACACCCATTACACTGACATGAACTGAATGATATTATTGTTGTGGGTGTGTTGAATTTATGCGAAATTTTGCTGGACAAAGATGGGGCGAACTCCTCGTGTTGAGCTCATCGAGCGATTTAGGGGCGATGTGCATATTCTTTAAAATGGTTTTTTTTTTTGTTGTGTTTTTTGGATCTTTATATCTACCATATGCTTCACTTTAGTGTTAACAAACATGTTGGTATTTATGGTTGTGTTCTCTGTTGTGTTTTGCAGATGGCCCTAAAGGTTGTCGCAGTTTCAAAAAAGTAAAAGATCGGAGGCAACACCTCTCGTCAGCCAAGGTCGTTTGATGCAACACATTTCCTAGGTGATGAGCAGCATGATGAGTTTAAGGTGCTGGAAACAAAAGGATTATGTCGGAAAGAATTTTTAACATTAGCAGAGAAGGAACATTTAGGGAAGTGGCTCGCATCTTTGAAGAGAAAAGGTAGGATACCCTGATTAATCCAGTGACCAACATTAACTATGACGTTGTAAGGGAGTTCTATGTGAATGCTCTTCCAAATGATGGAGAGCCATTCATGTTCCCCACTTTTGTGAGAGGGAAAATTTGAGGTTTAATCAGAATGCAATCAATGAGGTTTTGGGCAACCCTCTTTCTTTGGAAATTGGGGAGCTTGGTGAATTTACCCAAGAGCTCAATTTGACCACTTTGACCATATTTCCAGCTTAATTTTGCTTGAAGGACGAAGTGATCAAGAGTTCCTGTTAGGTACCAAAGGGAAGATATGACACCAAAGGCACACATTTTTATTTTGTTGATCCTACACACCATCAAACCCAGGTTACACCGCTCAACTGCCCCTATTGATGTAGCTTTCGTTATGCATTCTATATTGGATGATAACCAGGTCGGTGTGGCTCACATAATTGCAAATGACTTCAAGAATGTGATTGAAATAAGCCATTAACCTGGGGGAAAAGCACACAACCCCTTGGTCTTTCCTGCTCTGATTATGGCAATATATGTTCATAGCTGGGTTCACATTCATACTTTTATGCATGAGACTATTACAAGTGTAATTGGCGATGTTTATGTTTCAAGGTATTGTGTAGGAAAGAAGAAGGTTGTACGTGAAACTTCTGCACCCCCGGCTCTTCAAGTGTCAACTTTGATAATTGGGATCCGAGGAAAAAGGCAGCCTACAACTATACTTGGGACATGCAGGACGCAAATCAAAGGGATTCAATGCATATGTATTATTCTATGGAAAGGCTAAAACTTCAGTTCAGGGAACCAACATTTAAACATCATCTTGCTGCTCAAGTAGAATTTCAGGCACATTGTAATTGACTTATGGATAGGCGTCCATTTTTTACGGAGGGGGCAATAGCTGGTGGTGCTGATGGTCTTGATGTTGATGATGATGATGGTGAAGCTATTTCTGATAATGAGATTGAGAGTTAGTGGGAGGTGGCTATGACGAAAAGCTTGCAATAAAGTGATGAATTTTTAGCTTTTTTGTCATGCCTTTCTAATTTTATTGCTTATGTTTCAATTTTTAGTTTGAGTGATTTTGGGTGATGTATAACTTTTGACTCTTGTGGAGTACTTTTGTCGGTGTTCATACATCGTAAACTTTGGATGTTTTGGAAGTTTTTTTAAAATTAATTTTAAGTATGTTTATTATTAGTATTGTGTTTAATTTTTGTTTTGTACAAAGAAATTTTTTGGAGTTTGTCCTTGTGAATAGTTCTAACTTGTTCAAAGAAGCAAAGGAAGAATTAATCAAATTTCTTAGCATGTCAACATAGAAATGTAGTGGCTGTGATAAAAATATTGATGTGATGCATGCAATAAAGATACATAGTTATCGCTTTGTAGAATGTTAGTATGATTGTGAAATTTGTGCTTTATGCAAAATCATTTCATGCATCATATTGCAAAAGCTTGTTCATATGCTTGAACCACTTAGGGAAAAATCACAAATTGTGAGTGACTTTCCATTGTTCACTAAATATCTAAGGATGACTAGTAATTCTTGTTGTATCTCGTTTGATTCATATTAAATCTCGCATTCATGGTGAATTTGTGGAAACATGAAAACGATCAAGGCATTTTTTCTATGATGAGAAATATCACCAAATCAAAATGGCTTCAACTTACCTCGTAAAAGTGTGAGTATTTATGAACTCTTTTGAGACATAAAATTTATGAGTGAATCAAACATCTAACAAATTACTAAGTATACTAGTTGGTGATTTTGTTGTTGATCTTCAAAAAGTTTATTATTGATTCATTCCAATTTTCTTGATGGTAAATACTTAACCCAATTTTTTGAAAAGAACTAAGAACGAAGAACATTTTTTAAAAAAGGAAAAGAAAGAAATGTTTAAAGTTGGGGAGATGTGGTTATTTTGAGAAAAGAAAAAAGAAATTGGTGGAGCAGTGCATCTTTGAAAAATACAAAAAAGAGAATCATTGAAAAGAAAAGAAAAAGAGAATCAAGAATAAAGACAAAGATTGCATTGTATGTCAAAAGAGATTGAAGGGCGGAAAATAGAATGAGGAAAGAACAAGAATTATTTATTTCATTTTGAAATGTTCTTCATGATTTTAAATTGTTTTTATTTCAATAGCCTTATAAATGACCCACTGTTGATAAACATAGCCAAGCTACAACCATGAAAATCACTAAGATTTCCTTTTTATTGTTTAGATGAATGCATCAATTGATCTGGATGTTAGCAAAGTTATTAGTGAAAGTGTTTTGTCAGGTGTAATTTTGTGCAAAAAAAATCTCCATCCATTTTATGAAGAGAGATTTAGGGCGATTCAAATATGAAGATGTTGTTGCTTGAGTATGCATTGCTTTATTTTTGTGTTTAGAACTCAAGTCATAATCATGTTTTGATTTTAGAAAGTGATTGAGCATTACTTGTACGTGTGCTCCGTTGAATTTAAACCATACATTTTTCTTTGATTGATTTTGAAGCTTTAAAATTCTTCTTGTTTTGAAAGAGTTTCAACTTTGATTGAGGAAAAACAAAGATTCAAGTTGGAGATATTTTGATAAGTTTCATTTGTACCTATAATTCCACACCAAAACTTGACATTTTTAAGCTCTTTTTAATGTTTTTGATCAATGAAGTCCCCATGATTGAATAAAATGTAGCTTTAGTGTATATAATTTTGGTATTTGTAATGTGTGTGTTATTTATGCAGTAAAACATGAAAAATAGTGTCATAAAGCAAGGAAGAAAGTCCAAAGTAAAAGAGAAGAAGCAAAGCAAAGATTTGTTGTTTATGCAATTTTCCCAGCGAGCTTGGGGCGAGGCTGGAGCGGCATCGTCGGGCAAGCTTAGAGCAAGGTTAGAGCGAGCCAAAACAGAAGCATTCTAGTAGCTCTCTATTGGAAAGTGTGGGCTTGTTCGCCAGGCGCGCTTGAAACAAGGAATTCGCTGGGCGAGACTTGTGTTTGCTGAGCGAAGATAGATATTTTGTTCCAGCATGGTTGAGTGTTGTGCGGTGGCAGCTGAGTAAAAAATGGCAATTCGCTGGGCAAAGCTTTTGGACGTCGGGCGAATTTGTCTGATCAGAAAGTGTATAAATAGGTTCATGTTACATATTTTTTAGGAGTTGCCATATTTTCTGACCTAGAAACACTTTGTAAGAAGAAAAGACTTTAGAAAATTTCATAATTGATTAATTGGAGCTGAATTCGCAACCTTATCGATCATTTATCTTTGATGCTCATTCATTTCCTTCAATTACTTGTAAAATAACTATATGATGTGTAGCTAAACTCATTGTGTCAAGATTAGAGGTAGTTAACCAAAATAGTATGTATTTCTTTTGATCTTTTGAATGTGAACAAGTTTATGATCAATATAGATGATTATCTTTGCTTATATGTTATATCCATAGTTTAAATCATTATTGATAAATATTTTTCAAGTCTTGATCTAAGTTATCATCTACTAAAGTCCAAACTCTAGACATATATTTGGAGTTGATATTCACATGTATCAAAACTTTATGTTATTGTATTGTTTAATAGGCTGGGAGATCGTTGATTAAACAATACGGTAAAACCCTCAACATCGGTTAGACATAGGCGGTGTTGACGAGTGATACGTGATTATATAGATTATTAACAAGTTCACATGCTAGATTATTTGAATACATATGAAATAGGTTAATGAAATCTAATCTTGATATATCTCTTTAATCGTTAAAGCCTCAATATTTTACCGTTGTTTCGTGTTTTTAATGCAAACGATACTTTTCACAGCAAAAACTCTTATGAAACTTTACTTAAAGTTGTAGTAACTGTGGAACAACAGTAGTATCACATCAATACATGTGGAGACGATAGAAAATACTTTACCACCCTAAATTACATTTCATCAAAATGGTATCGTTGCTGGGATTGGATGTAAGTTTAATGTAATAGTATGTATTTTTATTAATCATGGTGTTGCATACAATCTATTTATGAGTCTATATCGATGTTATCTTTGATTTCATGTTATTCTTGAGATCTGAACTGATGTTGAGAAATAAGGTTCAAATCTTGATCTAAGATGAACATCTATTAGATTCTAAATGCTAGACATAGATTTGGGTTTAACATTCACCAAAAGTATCGGCTCTTAATGCTCCATATTGTTTGATAGGCTAAGAGATCATCGATTAAATAATACGGTAGAATCCAAAAATCTCAATAACAACAATAACACTAAGCCTTTTACTTATATTAACAAAAACAACAACATAAAACCTTTAATCTTATCTTAACAACAATAATAACAACATAAAATTTCAATCTAAACAACAATATAAAATCTTCAATCTCAATAACAACAACATATAATATTCAAATTTCAATCTAAACAACAACAACATAAAATTTTCAATCTCAATAACAACAATAACACTAAGCCTTTTACTTATCTTAACAAAAACGACAACATAAAATGTTTAATCTTATCTTAACAAAAACAACAACAACATAAAAACTACAAACTCAATCTCAACAACAACAACATAAAAACTTCAATATAAATATTAACAACAATAACTACATTAAACCTCTAGGGTTTAGGGTATCAACAACAACATTATTGTAACATGAATGGTAGAAATGTTTCACGTATCAAAAATGTGATGAAGAAGTCAGAAATATGAGTTTCATGTTTCCTTTTCTTGATTCATACAAATTGGAGAAGATATGATGGAGGTTAGTGGAGAAATGGTGCTTCATAAGTTTATGAAGATGAGGTTTCGGTAGGGTGTTGTTCTGTTCTGAAGGGAAATAAGCTATAATTTTTTTATATATGTAATTTTTTTTAAGTGAGATATTTTTTCACCTCAGTCAGTTTTACTAACCATGAAGAAAGGTAATTTACTTTAATTTAAAATAAAAAGGACTAGAATGACTTTTCAGCTCAGCTCGTTTTACCAACCGTGGGGAAAGGTTAGGCAACTTTGTCTATAAAATATTTATGTTCATTCACCTTTTTCGTAAACCTAACTCATTCCACCTCTAAACATCATCTTCCATTAATGAAACTCTATTTCTTCCCTAAGCCTAACTCAAAAACATAATTTCTTCCATAAATCAAACTCGAAAGCATTATTTCTTATTGTGTCGTTGTAGTATAACTGACTTTGAAGATGCTAAAATAGTATCTTGAAAATTTTGGTTTGAAGATCAATAAAAAGTTTCACTTTATCTAGTAAACAACGTGCTTAAATCTTAACATTAATCTTTATTTCCAAAATTTTCAAGATAGTAAAAAATTGAGAAGATATATCATCCCAAAAATAAA